AACGATGGTTACAAAAAGGAGGGTAAAAACGATGGTTACAAAAAGGAGGGTAAAAACGATGGTTACAAAAAGGAGGGGAAAAACGATGGTTACAAAAATGAGGGGAAAAACGATGGTTATAAAAATGAGGGGAAAAACGATGGTTACAAAAATGAGGGGGAAAACGAAAATGAAGATAAAAACAATGGTTACAAAAATGAGGATAAAAATAATGGTTACAAAAATGAGGATAAAAATAATGGTTACAAAAATGAGGATAAAAATAATGGTTACAAAAATGAGGATAAAAACGATGGATACAAAAACGATGATAAAAACGATGGTTACAAAAACGATGATAAAAACGATGGCTACAAAAACGATGGTAAATACAATGATAATTACAATGGTAAATATAATGATAAATACAATGATAATTACAATGGTAAATATAATGATAAATACAATGATAAAGATGGGGAAGAAAAATTTAAATGTACTGCAGTAATTTTGCTTCTCAACAACCCAGGATATAGTGAGTCTAAGGAATTCTGGCTTGGTCGTAAATAATTGAACTTATTTATTATTTTGATACATATATATATAAATCTATATTATATATTTGGAGTAGAGCGTTTTTTTTTTTTTTTAGAATTTATCTTTTAGATAAAATTAGGATCAACGGGATAATTTAATAAGTAAATAAAAAAAAAAATCCAGATAAACATCTGGTATGTTTATCTGTATAAATAATTAACTTTCGCTTTCGTGTTCTGTGAAAAATGAATTTTATTTCAAGTGAACTTCAGTCAATGTAAATTCTAGAATAAAATATTATCCTAGAGAAAATAAATACTGTACATATCATGACCTTTCAAGAAAAAAAAAATTTTTAGACATTACGGCTGACTGATTTTGATTGTAATCATATCAGATATGGGCGGATTTTTACAATTCAATTGTCACTTGAATTTGTATGATATTCGTAATACCTAAAAATAGATTAGGTTTCTGAAGGGAACAAAAAATGGTAAAACCTATAATAAACAAAGTCGAAAATTCATGTTTTTTTCTATAATATAGAAACGGGATTTGCTTACATATGAAGTATTTTTTATTAAGTAAACCTTCCTTTTGCTTATAATAAAAATTGTAGAGCTAATTTTTCTGATTCTAATGGTGGTAAATTCATCAAAATCGGTTTGATATATCATGAGATATGAATATTTTTTTCAATCGTTTACTATAACGATAGGGTTTTTTCTTAAGAATGGCATTCCACTTATACCATATAAAGGGGACGTCTAAAGCGGAGATAAATCACGTGATCAATCACTAATCAAGTTTATGCTTAGGGTCACTTTAGGATAGGGTTAGGATAGGTTTTAGGTAGTTATATATATGCAAAATTGCCTTCCCGACATTTTTGATTAACCT